TATATGCTTCTAAACTGTTGTATCTGGGTGCCTCTGCAAAGACAGTGATTATGTGTAAAGGTAAAAGTGTTGAATGATGATGAAAGTATTTTCTTTTTGGGGATTTTCTTTGTTTATGGGTCTCCCTGCCTCAGTGGGAGACGTCCAACTTGTTAAAAAAAAAATAAAGTTAAAACTGCAATATATTATAATATGTGTCTAGAATGAAAATTATGTGGCTTGTCTAGCTTCGTATGAATGATTATTCAATCTTCTAATGATAAAATAATGATACAGTATACTATATACAAAATAAAATGGGTAATAAACATGAACAAGAATTTATTTCTTATTATACAAGTGCACTTATGCATACTTAATAGGTATGTAATATTTTACTTGTGGTGGGATAGATTTGAACAATGATAAAAAACAGTACCTTAATTAAAAATTAAAGAGAAACCAAGAGCTGGAGCTCAATCCCTGAAACTTAAATTTGCACTCACACACAAGTTTTTTTTTGAAGGAATGGGACTAGGATGTAGAGGCATAAATATAAACATCAAAATGAGCCAGAGAGAATAAGAAGGAACTGTTTTGAACATGATGGTGAAAAAGTAGAATGTGCTAAATGAAGAGATAAAAGATAGTGAGAACTTTTTTTTAGTATGATAGTGAATAAAGAGGAAAATACTAGAGAAGGAGATAATGGAGACAAATTCAATGCATGAGACTGTGAACACATCACATTTGTTTAGTGGATAAAAGGTGGACTCCACAGCTGAAAGTTGATCCTCACACAGTGTGCAAAGGTGTGAGCACACTTAAGTATTAACACATGGATTAAACTGCTAATTAAAGGCGAGACCAAAATAAGGCAACACAAATGAATACATAAGAAGGAATTTCTTTGGGGTGAGAGTAACAAATGGAACACAATGAGAAAGCAGTGGAAGCAAATACAGTAAGTGAGGGCTGGGATGAACTCAAAAAGGAAGGTAGATTGTGCAGCTACTCATAAATACTTAAAAATGATCTATGATTAAATATTAAAGATGCTTGGACACCTTAATAATAATTCTACACACACAGAGGTAACAAACAGGTAAGCACATACGTATTTATGTCTGCAAGAACCTGATGAGAATATAATTTTCACTTACATATTTATTCTTATCATTTTCTAATTCTGCTGTCAATTGTTTGTCAAGGTAATGAGTAGCATTCTTAATTATCTCTGTAAGTACATTTCTCATTTCTTCAAGATCACTTGAAAGTGATTCATCTTCAGACTTACTGCAGTCGTCTATCATTAATTTATTGTCGTTTATGTCACTATCTTGGTTGCTAAATTTTTTATTCATCAGAGCCTCATTCAAGGGATTTTCTGTGATATTCATAGTTCCCAACTCATGCACATGCTTTGTCTGGCTTAAAGTCAAGTCATTAGCAGCATCAATTTTTTCCTTAATGCTGGAAATGGCCACATTTGTGTGTGGTAATAAAGCATAACTCTCGCAAGATGTACTGCTTGACGTCATGTCCATCAGATCAATGCCTCCATCAATTTTTTTAATTTCCACGTTAGTGCTCCTAATACTAATATTTGAAGTTTGATCAATATCTTTACTATTACCACAGCCCATTTCTGAAAATGATATTAAATAATTAAACAAAAAAGAGACATTACTTGTAAAATACTGTATGCTTGCCTTTCTCCTTTCACTCTGATTACTAGGTATTCCTGAAGGTTTTCCCATATAACTGGAGAATCCTTCATCTGATCAGCCTCAAATTTTCAACACTAGTGTACTGTAACTAGAGAAAGATTCATGCAACTGCTGGCATAGGTAGGTGCCCTCTGGTCAGTTTTATAGCAGACCATTCCAGAATTTGGTTTCTGGCTTCTTTCAACAATGGTATACCCTACTTAAAAGGTGCTAACTGGAGAATGAATCATCTGGCTGGTGTCAAACTTTTAGTGTTGGTGTATTTTTTAAGGAGGAAGTTTTGCACAGATTTTGGGTTGTGTTTTAACCCTTTCAGGGTCCAGAGGCCAAATTTCAAAGTGTGCACCAGGGTCCAAGAATTTTCAAAAAATAATTTTATTTTTTCTTATGAAATGGTAGAGAATCTTTTTCTGAAGGTAATAAGACAAAAAGTACAAAATTTGATGGAAAATTAACAAAATTATGCTCTTGTGAATTTTGATGTGTCAGAGATATCTATGCATCGGCAATTTTGCAGACTTTGACTTGACTCCCATTTTAGGCCAATTACATTATTCCAGTTGACCAAATTCTTAGCTATTTCACTAGTATTACTGCTATTCTATCGATTGAGCACAAGAAATCGCCAAGTCAACTGTTTCAACTACAAAATAAAGTGATCGGAAATTGGTAATTTGGCCAATTTAATGCAAAATTCTAAATATTCCAATTTCAAAATAGGGTCCAGAATAAACAATGCAGGCATTCCTGGCACTAAACTAACATTTCCTCTGTTCATTAGTTATGTTTTCAGGTTTTACAAATGAATTCCAATTTGATTTTTTATTCACAAAATGAATTTTTATTCTAACCAAAAAATAGAAGATTTACTGTTATGCAATACTGTAATAATTGTATAAATAATATCACCACATTTGTGAATGTATATTAGACCCACCACCATCGGCAAAAATTTAACATTTCTACTACTTTGAGCTCAGTTTCAAGCCATTTTCCAGTACTAAAACCAATCAAAATCATCTCTATTTCTGTAATATATCTTCCATTCTATCAAATGAGACCAAGAAATTGCAAATACAACTATAAAAAACATACGAAAAAACACTGCAAAGTCGCTGTTTTAACTGAAAATTGCGGTCTCAGTTTTTTCTTATTATGTACTGTGTGCTGCAGGATTTGTTTTATGTGGTGCACACATACCACATAGATGTATTCTCTCATATCTAGGCCCAAATTTACCGCTCACAGCTTATCAGAGTGAGCTGAGCTCATGGCGTAGATCTACGGTTTGGACCCTCAACGTAAAGCCATAGATCTATGGCACGGTCCCTGAAAGGGTTAATTTGCCAATTTTATTAAACAAATAGGTTTCATGCAATAACTGAAGAATGATTGGCTTCAAACCAAGTCTGGACTGATTTTGGTTGGTGTAGTGCCAATTTAAAATCTTTATTGAAGAAATTAGAAAAATTTCAATATATGTACTGGGTTTCATGCAATAATTTGTGAACATCTCATCCAGTAGGCTTCAATATTGGTCAATAACTTGAGAATGTAACTCCTAAGCAGCTTAGAACTGAGTGTGCTTTTGAGATAACTAGAGAAGGCTTCTTCTGATGAACTTTGAACTTTCAAAGGTAATGTTTCTTACATAGTGGAAACTTTGAATTGGTTTTGTGTTGTGTAGGTGCCAATTAGTTATTGTTATTTAAGAAATTTGGATATTAGGTTCCAATTGATACCTTATAAATGCTTCTTCTAATTGGTTATAAATCTTCACTGCTGATATTTAATTGCATTAGAAACTCATGCCTTACATTGTACATTTCCTTTCCCTTTTACATGCAAAGAATTAGAGGAGGCTGAGCTTATCAGATACAGGGATAACTTTCCTGGACCCTGCAGTGACTAAAACATATGCAGTTAATATTCAGTTTACAGGAACACCAGCCACAAATTATGTATTATGAAGCAGTTTCAGTTATGTTTCATTTACAGTCCTATCTGTTCATATTATTAAAATGAAAATGCATTAACAGTAATGCTGCCTATTAAAAATTACTTTTTATAATTCTGGTCATCAGCATCAGTTACATTCTTATGGTCACCATTGAATTTACACTACATTTCTTTATCACACTACTACATCCCTTAAGTAATGAATGGATGTAGTACATCAATTAAGTAATATGAGCACTTCATACAGCACCACTGTGGAGACTATGGTTGACACACTGTCTTTGGTTGAGGTCACTCAAGTCACATAACCGACATGCTTGCAACAGCTCAGGTCACTTTAGTATGGAGACTGCAAAAAGTAATACACATTCAGATGCTATATTGTTGAATCATATTGATCAACAAACTTTGCACTACTTAAGTCAATCCGGTGGTCACACTTATTAAATAATGACCACAAAAAATCATCACAGTCTTGGTGATTAAGTGACCAAGATAAGATACAAGATAAGATTATCACAAGTAGTTGGTCAATGATGAGAGCAATGCACATATTTACAGCATTTTTTGTAAAACTATATATTATCCATCTATCTAAATTATATAGCTCTCCTAAGTGTCTATCTAATATAAAGCTCAAATTAAAAGGTTATGTACATAACAAGTCAGGTTTGAGATCAATGTGTGGTGTGAATATTATGCAGAGAATAGGGAATGAAGAAATTTGAAGACAGTATGGTGATATGATAGGAATAAATAAGAGAGTGGTGGAGGGATTGTTGTGATGATTTGATCATTAAGAAGGCTGACCAAGAGGGTGAATAAATCTGGGGTGGATAGGTGTTGTAGAGAACATCACAGTAAAGAATGAAAGGAAGGTGTGGAGGAGGTTTTATGGACAAGGGTATTGAGCATCCAGCAGGCATGTGTGAGCATGTTAAAGTGAATGGAGAGAGGTAAATTTTGAGATTTGATGCAATGTTGAGCGAGTACAATAATATCCATTAAAGGAAACTAGTTAGACAGACTTGAGTTCTAAACAAGTACAATGCCTGTACTCTGAAGGAGGGGTGGGGATGTTGCAGTTCAAAGTGTCAGTTGAACTGTAATGTTCATGCATATCTGGCAAAACAGTCATCAAATAAGAAATGGTGAAGGTGTTACCTTGGATCACCCTGCCTTGGTGGAAAACAATCTATGTGGTAAAATAAATATTTAATATGTTACTTAGTGGTATTCACAGATTATGAATTTGGAGATACCTATAGGTTAACCACTGTGAACAAAAGGGTTTAACTGTACTGTATTAGAACTCACAGTAGTGTATCTCACCTGAGGAGAAGTACCTGCAGAGGAAATTTCTGATGAAGGCTTGGATGAGCCAACTGATGTAGTAGTCAGGATAGGGGTTTGCTCTTGCTTTACACTCTGACTGACATTAGTCAGAACCGTTTGTACTGACACGACAGATTTTGCTTCTTGGCTTACAGCTGCTTCTGAAGTTGATTTTGAAGGTTCATTTGTAGTGCTTTGAGACAAGGATGGATTAAACTTTACTGGTGAAGTTTCACAAGGTGCACTTAATGACTGCTCAAATTTTGTTGGCTTTATGGGTACAGTTAATGTGCTTGTTGAAGTATGAGTCACATGTAACGAAGGTTTTGTCTCTATGAAACTGTTGTTAAGACTGGCTATTTGTGATTCTGACAGACTTGATCCTACACTAGTGGAAAAATTGGCACCTGTCTTAAATTCTTGTTTCATTAAATCTAATCTAGGTTCCACTTTGGTGAGATCAACTAGGCGTGGAATTTTGGAGGTATGTGGTGGCAATGGTGGAAGGTTAGTGGCAGATACATTGCCACTTGTGCTGACAATGTCTTTAGCAACTGAATGAATGGTTTCATGGCACTTGTCACATATTCTCACCCCAGAGCTACCATATGACCGCCGCTCTACTTCTGGGGTAAGTGCTGGGCTTGGGGGATTTGAACTCGTTTCAGAATTAAGTTCTTTTTTAAAGTTCAAGGGAGTAGTATTTACTCCAGTGGAATGAGTTTCAGGTCCCTTAGTTTGAACATAGACAGATGATGTCATATTTAACTTCTGTTTCATTTTCCCTGTCAGTTTATCACCAACAGAGATGGTGCCTACAGCAACTGAGCGAGTAATTAGACTGTCACAGCGATCACAGATTCTATCACAAATTTTGTCATTGCTGGAGCCTACAGACCTAGTTTGAACTGCTGAGCATTTTTCACACCATATATCAGTTAATTTATAATCACCTACTGCAACAGACCTAGTCATAGTATACATGCATTTATCACACAGCAGATCAGTTGTGAGCCCCTCTCCTGAACCAACAGATCTTGTTTTCACATTCATGCATCTGTCACACAAATTGTCTGTAATCTTTGATGCCCCAACACCAACATCCACAGAATGAGGTTTAACTAAAACACCAATGCTTTGTAAGAGAGGCTGAAATCTTGTTTTGGTTAGGTTGGGATCATTAATCATGACCTGGGTACCATTGTCCACAGTAAGGGGTTTGCATGACTGTGCTATATTTCGAACTCTATCTTGCATTTCTCTTGCATCCTCCCAACTCTTCTTGGCTTTAGCTAAGTGTTCATTTAATTCAGTTTTTGTACAAAAATCAGTCATACTTAAACTTGTATTCACCAGCTGTTCTCTTCTGTACACTACCTCAGTGTTGCTTGAATTATCAAATGTTAAAACTGGAGGGGCTAGTTGTGGCTCAGATAGACGACTTATGATTGCTGATTTCCTGCCAAGTTTTTGCAAGAATGTACTTTTAGGGGTTCCTTCCTTGTCTAGTGGATCCTTATTTTCATTATCTATGTCATCTGGTTCTACACTCTCCACTGACACACTGTTAATACTTAACTTCCTCAATTTTTCTTTATGTGATGCTGACAAAGTTCCAGTACCTTTGCTTTCATATGTTTTGCGATTTCTCTCATAGCACTGCATACATGGTTTGGGTTTTATCTCTTTTTTTTTATCAATGTCTACTCTATCAGTTGTTAATCCTACTGATCGTGTTCGAATTCCCACATGAGACACTCCAATATCTCTGGTTAAAACTCGACAGCTTGTTGACGTGTCTCTTGTAATTTTTCGCACAACCGTAGGAGTACTTGGTAAGCTGTGAATTAATCTTGTTTCCACTGATGAACCTTGACCGCGATATGTTTGTGTTTCTTTTGAGGTCTCCTGGCTTAGCCGTCTCCCTATGATGTGATCATTAGCTTCCTTAATAAAAAGTGGAGTGTCTTCAGCAACTGAGCGAACTGATTCAGCTTCTGACCCCTCAGACACTGATCCCTTTCGAGCACGACGATATGAACGAAATTCCTCCAAGTTGACTCTCATTGCTGCAAGCATCAGGGTAAATTTTTAATATACTGTAAATATCTCACAAACAATCAAATATGTCTACCTGCAATATGTCAGTTTCTACATAATATGATACCCCATTCAAACTACTGTTTGAATTTAGACTGGAAGCTGTTATTCTAGCTGAGATTTATCTTAGGTATTATTCTTTTCCCCTTTCCCCAGCATATAACCCATAATAGTCATCTAACAACTAGGTAGTACCTATTTGCTGCTAAATGAGCATGGGCAGCAGGTGCAAAAAAACATATATGTCATCACCTACCCCAAAATCAGTGGTACCAAGGGTGGTACCACTGATTTATGAGTCAACAAAGAGTTTTATGAGGTGCTGTCTTGGGTAGGATAATGCCAATAAAATTTTATTTGTAAGTCTACAATAGCATAATGCTATTGTAAATTCATTGGGTAAGAAAACTTTACTTCCAACTTACGAGATTCACTGCGTCGTCGAGGTGGCCGAGGAGTTGATACACAATTACTTCTCAAGTTACTAAGTCTGCCTTCTAATTCGTCCTCAGACAGGTCTGTAAGGTCACCATCTAAACTGGGTGGCAGCAAAAAGTGTGTTTCATTACCTTTACACACTGACTTAAGCTGCTGTAGCAGCAGTCGCTTTTCTTCCTTCAGTACATTGAGTTTTATCTGCAGAAAATGTTTCATATAGTTTTTATTTTGACAAATGAAGCTTATCAATACTCTAACATTAAAAAGTGCTTAAAATACAAACAGAATTCATCTCTCTAATATTTTCCCTGTCTAGTTTAATCATTCCAAAAACCAATGTGCATAAAAGGACCTAAAATCTGGCACTCTCTAGTGAGGCCAGAACTGATTCCTCTATCAGACTCCTTATAACATGTCAGTCACACACTGTAAACTTTGCAAAGAAATAAAAATTTGAATTTGAATTTGAATGTGAATCAAGTTGTCCTGTTTTCAGAAGCAAACTGTATGATAATGGTACGAGCAGGGGCGATTCATCCATAAAGGCAAACTAGAATACAGCTTAAGATGTAAAGTTAAATGTGGCACAAATTCAAGGAAAAGAATAATGTGTAATGTCACCATGGTTGTTTAATATATTTATAGATGGGGTTGTAAAAGAAGTAAATGCTAGGGTGTTTGGGAGAGGGGTGGGATTAAATTATGGGGAATCAAATTCAAAATGGGAATTGACACAGTTACTTTTTGCTGATGATACTGTGCTTATGGGAGATTCTAAAGAAAAATTGCAAAGGTTAGTGGATGAGTTTGAGAATGTGTGTAAAGGTAGAAAGTTGAAAGTGAACATAAAAAAGAGTAAGGTGATGAGGGTATCAAATGATTTAGATAAAGAAAAATTGGATATCAAATTGGGGAGGAGGAGTATGGAAGAAGTGAATGTTTTCAGATACTTGGGAGTTGACGTGTCGGCGGATGGATTTATGAAGGATGAGGTTAATCATAGAATTGATGAGGGAAAATAGGTGAGTGGTGCGTTGAGGTATATGTGGAGTCAAAAAACGTTATCTATGGAGGCAAAGAAAGGAATGTATGAAAGTATAGTAGTACCAACACTCTTATATGGATGTGAAGCTTGGGTGGTAAATGCAGCAGCGAGGAGACGGTTGGAGGCAGTGGAGATGTCCTGTCTAAGGGCAATGTGTGGTGTAAATATTATGCAGAAAATTCGGAGTGTGGAAATTAGGAGAAGGTGTGGAGTTAATAAAAGCATTAGTCAGAGGGCAGAAGAGGGGTTGTTGAGGTGGTTTGGTCATTTAGAGAGAATGGATCAAAGTAGAATGACATGGAAAGTATATAAATCTATAGGGGAAGGAAAGAGGGGTAGGGGTCGTCCTCGAAAGGGTTGGAAAGAGGGGGTAAAGGAGGTTTTGTGGGTGAGGGGCTTGGACTTCCAGCAAGCGTACATGAGCGTGTTAGATAGGAGTGAATGGAGACGAATGATACTTGGGACCTGACGATCTGTTGGAGTGTGAGCAGGGTAATATTTAGTGAAGGGATTCAGGGAAACCGGTTATTTTCATATAGTCGGACTTGAGTCCTGGAAATGGGAAGTACAATGCCTGCACTTTAAAGGAGGGGTTTGGGATATTGGCAGTTTGGAGGGATATGTTGTGTATCTCTATACGTACATATATGCTTCTAAACTGTTGTATTCTGAGCACCTCTGCAAAAGCAGTGATAATGTGTGTGTGTGGTGAAAGTGTTGAATGATGATGAAAGTATTTTCTTTTTGGGGATTTTCTTTCTTTTTTTTTGGGTCACCCTGCCTCGGTGGGAGACGACCGACTTGTTGAAAAAAAAAAAAAAAAAAATTAACAAAAAATTAAAAAAGACAAAAGATACAAATACAATAATGAAGTTGTTATTTTTTTTTTCAACAAGTCGGCCATCTCCCACCGAGGCAGGGTGACCCAAAAAGAAAGAAAATCCCCCCCAAAAAAATACTTTCATCATTCAACACTTTCACCTCACTTATACATAATCACTGTCTTTGCAGAGGCGCTCAGATATGACAATTTAGAAGTCCCTCCAAATTGCCAATATCCCAGACCCCTACTTTAAAGTACAGGCATTGTACTTCCCATTTCCAGGACTCAAGTCTGGCTAAATCTATAATAACCGGTTTCCCTGAATCCCTTCACTAAATAGTGTATTACCCTGCTCACACTCCAACAGCTCGTCAAGTCACAAAAACCAATCGTCAAAATTTACTCCTATCTAACATGCTCACGCAAGCTTGCTGGAAGTCCAAACCTTTCACCCACAAAGCCTCCTTTACTCCCTCCCTCCAACCTTTTCAAGGATGACCCCTGCCCCTCCTTCCTTCCCCTACAGATTTATACGCTCTCTAAGTCATTCTACTTTGATCCATTCTCTCTAAATGACCAAACCACCTCAACAATCCCTCTTCAGCCCTCTGACTAATACTTTTATTAACTGAATCCCTTCACTAAATAGTGTATTACCCTGCTCACACTCCAACAGCTCGTCAAGTCACAAAAACCAATTGTCAAAATTTACTCCTATCTAACATGCTCACGCAAGCTTGCTGGAAGTCCAAACCTTTCACCCACAAAGCCTCCTTTACTCCCTCCCTCCAACCTTTTCAAGGATGACCCCTGCCCCTCCTTCCTTCCCCTACAGATTTATATGCTCTCTTAGTCATTCTACTTTGATCCATTCTCTCTAAATGACCAAACCACCTCAACAATCCCTCTTCAGCCCTCTGACTAATACTTTTATTAACTCCTCTTAATTTCCACACTACGAATTCTCTACATAATATTAAAGAAATATATTATTTATATTTCAAAACCTGTAACATGTACTGCCATTCTGCTTGCTTCAATATAATCTTACATGCAGAATACAAAATACTGCTCTATTAATCTCTCTTAACTAAGAGATTAAAATATCTGTAAAATTCTTCACTAGGTAGATACAACAGAGGAACGTAAATGTATTATAAATATGAATACCCTAGACATACCTGAAGCATTGGGATGGTCTTCACCTCCTCCTCTAATTCCTTCAGTCGAGCCAGACTTGTAGCCATTTGGTCACGGATGGACTGAGAGAAAATAGCAAAATAAGTAGCCTTTCAATACAGGAGAGTACACACTAACTAACTGGTGGGGTACAATAATTTGTTTAAATTAATACAATAAATAACATAATAAAAGTGTTGTTTCTCTAGGTGTCAAGTGCATCAAATATTCCTACCAGGATACCAGTGCAGCTCTAGTGCATCCTTCACTCTTTAAACTATTTTTAATGGACTAAACCTAAGTGTCTGCCATTCCCCAGACCATTGTATTATTGTTTATTCCACATGAATAAACTATTACTTTAAAATATTATATAATTCATGGAGAAGTCCTAAGGCCCTAGGGATCATACAATGCCTGAAAAATGGGAGGCAATCAGGTATGATCCAAAGAAAGGGAAGAGTAGCTCCAACTTCTGGGATCAAGATTTTTTTTGCCAGCATCAAGGCCCTCTTCTTCCTTGTGGAGGTTCACTTTTAAAATAAAAGCCCAAACATACTTGGACGATAAATTAAGCCCAAGTCATGATATTACCTTACTCCTTCCTACCTGGAGTGTGGTGGTGCTGACTCCAGACATGGCAGACGTGACACTCATAGTGTCAAAGTCTTGGTGAGTGGCAGAGCAGCCTCGGGCAGCGTTGAGAGCAGCCAGAGTCTCTGAGAGGCGGGGCGCCATGTGCTACATGGCAGGAGGTGCAAAAGCGTTAATCAGCAGACACTGTTTTATACCTTCACCATTGGCAAGTCTCATTTTAAATATCAGCAGATTACAATACGCAACTTTAGTTCGCAAGCTTTTATGCAAATTAAATTGCACTGGTTAAAATGAGCCTTGTATAAGAGGCTATGATTATAAAAAAGCAATTTCACACAAAAAATGTTAACCCACAAAACAAACGGCAGCAATAGCTAGTCTGTTGGCAGTTATGAAAACCCATCTAAACTGTCACACTACAATGAGAGCAGCTTTGCTATGGGACTGAAACATCCTTGACATCATCCTCTGTTCTCTGAACTGGCTTGTTCAACATGCTTACAGTTTTGATTTACAAATGGCTTTCTCTATTTGGATACTTAATCCAAGCTGCACAAGGAAGAGAAAGGAAAAGAGAAAATTAATAATTCAAGAAAAATCATGACTTGACAACATTAACTGGAACAGAAGGCCATTTTAAAAACTAAAGAATTCAGGAGAGAAAATAGCAAACCTTAATGAGAATAAATTAAAAAATTTAATTTAAGAATCAAAAAGGGGTAACATTATAAAACTTCACTGAATGTGAGAAAGAGAAAGAGAGTCAGAAGAAAGTGAAAAAAAAGTGTGCAAGTACTAAAGGAAAATTAAGTGAAGAGAGAAATATAGGAATGGATGAAGGACTGGAAAAATAAAATAAGAATACCATAGGAATATTAAAATTAGAGAGAAAGGGGGTTTTATTAGAGGATATTCAAGATGCTAGAGCAGCAAGAATAAGGTAAAGCATTAAGAACAAAATCAAACAGAATGATGCAAGACAACTGAAAGAGGGTAAACAAAAATAATGTATGTATAAGAGAATACACATGAATAATATTAGGACGTGGACAACTGGGATAAACACAAGTTTCACAATATGAAATAGTGATAAAACATATTATGAAGAGAAAAAAAAGAGGTGGAGGGCAACAGCACAAATCTAAACAGAGAGGTAAATACAAGGGAAAGTCAAAATTAGGACAGAAACTCTAAATTAAAGAAATATATCATTTATAATTATAAGGGATCATGCTTGTGCAATATACCAGATAAAGAGTATGGAAAAATTATTATTGAAAGTTGGGGTGGATAAGGAAGGAATGTAACAGATACTGTAAATGTATGGAATAGGTAGTAGGTTACTAAAAACAGTAAAGTTTTTATGTGGAGAGTGAGGCTCAAATTAGGGAATGTAGCAGACAGGAAGACTATCTTGCAATAAAAGTAGCCCTCAGACAGGAATATGTGATGTCACTATTGTTCTTTAATATATTAAGAGATCTTCTTTCTTTCTTCTTTCAACAAACCGGCCGTATCCCACCAAGGCATTTCGCGATGGGGTTATAAAAAAAGAGTGAATGCTAGGATGTTTGGGAGAGTTGTGGGATTAAAAGATAATTAATTAATTTGATGTGAAGTTAGAGGTGGAGCAGTTTTTTTAACACACAGGCTGTCTCCCACTGAGGCAGGGTGACCTGTTAAAGAAACACTTTCATCATCATTATCATTCTCACTATCACTATTTTGCCAGAGGCATGTGGATACTTTTTGTTAATAACACATTTCTTTTGTGGGAGATTCTGGAGATAAGTTGCAAAGGTTGGTGGATAAGTTTAGGAGGGTGTGAAAAAAAAGGAAACTAAAAATGAACATTGACAGAAGCAAGGTGATGAGAATAGAAAAAAAGTTTGGCAATGGAGTATCAGATATCAGACTGGAGTGAGAGACTATGGAGGAAGAACGTGTACTTAAATATCTGGGAGTGAATGTGTTGGTAGATGGTCTGTGAAAGCCAAGGTGAACCATGGAATGGGTGAAGAAAAAGAGGTGGGTGGAGTGTTGAGGCATCTATGCAGAGAAAGGATTTTATCTATGAAGGCAAAATGGAGAATGTAGAAGAGTGTAGTGGTACCAACCTTTTATATAAGTGTGAGGTATGGGTTTTAAATGTTACAGTAAAGAAGAACTTGGAGGCAATGAAGATGCTAATATTGTGCAAAGAATTCAGGGCATAGCAATAAGAAGATGGAATGGGGTTCAGAAAGGCTAAGAGCAGAGTAGGGATTTTCGAGAATGAGGATGGATCAAATTAGGATAACAAAAGAGTATGTAAATCCAGGGGTGGAAGGAAGGAGGGCTAGGTGTTGTCCCAGAAAGGGCTGGAGTAGGGGTGTGAATAGTAGGGGCTTAAACATCCAACAAACATGTGTGAGAGTCTGAGATCAAAGTGAGTGTCAATAGGTGATTATAGGGATCTCACATGCTGCTGGAGTATGAACAATGTAACATTTATAAAGGGATTCAGAGATACCAGTTAGCAAGATTTGAGCCCTTAAGTTGGGAAATAAAGTGCCTGTGCTCTGGAGTAGTGGGGCAGCTAAAATTCAGAGGGTTCTCTGAACTGTGATGTCTGCACCCATCAAGCAAGACAACTATTGAATGAATGATGGTGAATGTTTCCTTTATTTTGCTCACTCTATCTTGGTGGGAGATAGCAAGTGTGTTAAAAAAATATTATTTAGAGAAACAGAAAAAGGAACACAATGTGAAGAAAAGAAAAATGTCAGAGAGGAGCCAATAATATGATCTAAAGTATAAGCTAATGAGGATTTTCAACAAGAAGATGCTATTCACCCAAAGCACCAATGGCTAAGATATTAAGTTATTCACAAGATGCACTGAAGCATATGGTTCTTAAGCAATGTTATACCAGCACAAGAGCATAGCACCTGAACATCAACTTACACTGTATCAGCTACATATTATGCATTAATTGTTTTCACAAAAGTTTTCTTAAGACCTTTACAAACTGCCCTCCACACTACCACTTTCAGTGAATTATTATTTTGGCCAACAAAGAGATCTCTGATGTGCTCTCAAGATTACTACACTGCTACTACAATTTTTCATATTGTACATAATAGCACTGGCATACCTTTTTCCATATACTGTACAGGTGTAATATGCTTTATATGGTAGATGTGTTCCAAGCCCATGGAAGCTGTAGTAATCTCAGTCAGGTCATCAATATTTAATTCTCTATTATACAACTCTTTCCTACATTTTGTAAACTGGATTGATGGGAATGAGACATCACATAAAAGCAAATTAACACATAATGAACCTACATAGAGAGGGATTTTTTTTTTCAACATTCGGCTGTCTCTCACTGAGGCAGGGCAACCCAAAAAAGAAAGAAATATTTTCACCATCATTCAACACTCACCGTAAGTAAAACCAGAGTACTATATATCATGATGTTGTTTTAATTACAATATTTTCTAAAATTAATCTTTATATAAAATTTCTAGGAAAGAAACATAATTATAACCCATATCTTTGCATTTATTTGATTAATAACTGAAGTTATATTTTAAACAAATTACATAAATGACTTCTATTGTTTCTTATTTAGGCTTTTTCACAAGTCTATCTCTAGTACTCTATTAGTTGTAAAGCCAAAATGCTTGAGAGACTGCCATTTTCAAGGATAACCCAATACAACACTGTTCAAATTTGTCTTCTCAAAAACTGGCACAAAAGCCAATTCTGACTGTCTAGTTTCATATCACTGTATCCACTACATCACAGGTTATCTCATTTGTCAATCATTGCTGCATATCTGACAAAAAAAAAAAAAAATAAAAAAATATATTTTTCCCTTGGTAGCAAAAAAATCCTAAATTATATATACACTATTTCATTTCCAATTTCCTTTTAGACATGTGGTAACTTTTTAAAGACATTACTTTATCTTACACTCAACCCCCTAATTCATATTTTTGAACTGTCAAACATTTTTACTGAAAGACCCTCAATAAATAGTTTCAAACAAAATTTGTTTCCATTTTCATTCTGGCTTGGCACACAACCTCTAAACTGAAACTTTAGCTTAGGATTTCATCCAATTGCTCATTCCCAAATCTCCTTTTTGATATTCTTTCTTACAAATGTCAACTTAACCAGATTAGAATGATATTTAAAAGAAATGTGGACTTTGAAACACAAACTGACCTCAAATCTGAAAAATATTATTATAACACAATTTTGTATTATTCACTTATTTTAAATCTGTGGGACCACTAAAAGGGCATCTTAAGTACTTAGTTTAATTTTACATATTAATCAACTACTAAAAGCCTAGTCATAAATTTGTGAATAATTTCAAGCAAAGGAAAAATTTCATACAAATTAAGTCTGCAATTTCATGGTATTTTTATATAAAGCAAAGAACTTAGCAGTTCTCTCCTAAAATAATAACTAATTAACTTTTTAATTTGTTTTCTTATTTATTAAGGACTTTCAATATTCTCAAGAGCATTTTACGATCATTTCAACATACAGCATGGAAAAGCAATACACAATTTATTTTAATAAATAAATGAATTAGGATGAGCCAATACATCCATGCTATTGCTAGCTTTATGGTGAGTATCTTTACCAGGTAATAAATGCTGGGTTTGCAGAAGTTATGTTTTGATTTCATATCTAAACATTCAGGAGTTTTTTTTTTTTTTTTTTTTCAACAAGTCGGCCGTCTCCCACCGAGGCAGGGTGACCCAAAAAAGAAAGAAAATCCCCAAAAAGAAAATACTTTCATCATCATTCAACACTTTCACCACACTCGCACATTACACTGTTTTTGCAGAGGTGCTCAGAATACAACAGTCTAGAAGCATACACATATGAAGATACACAACATATCCCTCCAAACTGCCAATATCCCCAAAACCCCTCCTTTAAAGTGCAGGCATTGTACTTCCCATTTCCAGGACTCAAGTCCGACTATATGAAAATAACCGGTTTCCCTGAATCCCTTCACTAAATATTACCCTGCTCACACTCCAACAGATCGTCAGGTCCCAAGTACCATTCGTCTCCATTCACTCCTATCTAACACGCTCACGCACGCTTGCTGGAAGTCCAAGCCCCTTGCCCACAAAACCTCCTTTACCCCCTCTCTCCAACCCTTTCGAGGACGACCCCTACCCCGCCTTCCTTCCCCTATAGATTTATATGCTTTCCATGTCATTCTACTTTGATCCATTCAGGAGTTATGGAACTAAATCAATTGAAAAAAGCAGTGCTTCTATTGAAATACAGTTTTATAAGTATGTATAATCGTTCAACAGACCACACATTAAGTGTGAAATTCTCAACAAAATCAGCAGCTAAGCTTTAAAAAATACTGCATTTATAAGCAAAAATATCATCTTTCAGCAAACCAGAATTCTGTATTAACTATAATTTAATAAGGAGGTAAACTTACAGTATAACATGTATAGTCAGCTCTCTTGCAAAGCTACTCTATATAGTGTGATTTTTTTTTTTTTTTGGTAAGTGTAATTGTCTCTAAATGTGAACAGCACATTCTAAAAAGGTCATTTCACATGCTATTTTTGAATCAGAAAACAAATAATTTTTTTCACAAAGTATGTTATTTTATAAAACACTGTTCAACTTTCTTTCCATATACTGTAATGTATAGTAGCATTATCAAATAACCAACAATGAATAGTATTGTGAAACAGTTTGTAAATGTCTTAATATTTATTAAATTCTGAGGGTTACAGAACATACAATATATGCTTTGCAAGTTTGAATAGCCCAGTGAAGTTAGTATGAAGAATGCTATAAAGTCTTACTTGCTGTATTAGTCCCACACCAACAGGAGGGCCATGTCCATTGTTGGTAATGATGTTCCCAGCAGCTACAGAACTAGTAGTTGTGGGACCCACTGATGAAGTGACACCTGGATACCCAGATGCAGAGGAGACAGATGAGAGGGAGGAAGTGGAATTGGTGCGCTGGCGGCCCAATAACGGAGAGTCATCTAATACTGGAAGCAAACATAGTACTGTATGTGTAAACAGCATCCATATGTTTGTTTAATGGAGCTCTCCTAAAATATAAAAAATGGGGGATAGATCACATTCTGACGGGCCTGTCATGCAAGTCAACCTATGTAGGGAATCAATATAATTAAGATAACCAAAATGTTATTGACAGTTAATAAATTAAATGGTGATGAATGCACCAATAGCTATTGTGCTAAATAAGATAAAATAAAATAAAAGTAGTACTGTACAATTTAATAATAATGCATAATATATAAAAACATTAAGAATTATTGGAAACAAATTTTGTTATGGGACAGAATTATTGCTTTACTTTTCTAAAAACAGACTATATGTTTATAATTTATATTAAAATAGTGATAAAGGCCTGATGGTAGTGGAGCTGTATGTTCAGTGAGTGTCAAGGATATCCCTTTCTTTAGTTAAATGCATGTTCTTGTTTAAGTTTACTTTTAAACCAACTTTAATATATATTTAGCTGCCTTTCCACCCACTAAAATGACATCTGTAATAAAAATAGCACAAAGACAAAGAAAAATGTAAATAGCAGAAATTCAATGAACATAAAACAGAAATAACAAATTGTTTACTACTTTATTATTGCCTTGTTGATAACAACAAAGCCCACCCAAGAACAAACTCACATGAACCTTCTGAAGAACGGCGAGGCATCTGGCCTCCAGGAACACCTCTTGACCAGTTGCGCTGTAACACTCTAAGCACTGCCATCTGTGTTCCGCCCTCACCTGACCCAAGGTTTCCATGGGAAAGGTGCATGGATGAGGGTAAGGAGGGTATAGGAGGGGATAGAGATGAAAGAGATCTGTTAAACCCTGGTGTGAGGAGAAGGGCAGCGCAGAGGATGCAAAGGATTGTAGAGAGCAAAACAAATTAATAACACCAACATGACAATAAAAGCAGAAGCAGAAGAGAGAGAACAAGTTGAACGACCAGCAAACCAATGTTTTAAATAAATGCAGTATAAGAATAGCAGTACAACTTGAAAATGGAGAAGTACATAAATGTATACAAAAAGAAATGAAGCAATGAATAAAACACAATAAAATGATAATGTAGGTGTAAACAAGAGATGAAAAATAATGAAAGATGAATAAAATTAATATATATATATATATACAAATATGAAAAAAAGAAGTAATCAATTTTATTTTAACTAGAAGGAAATATATTACGTAGAAAAAATCATTGTAGAGATTATCAATCATTGAATTATGATGAGGTGAGAATTTAAAGCAAGAAAAGATAAAATAAATAAGAAAATTAAACAACAGAGAGACCATAAGATTGTATGAGAAAGTATTTAGTGAGAGAACAATACAAGAATTTGTTTTATGTTGTAAGTAATGATTTATGACAAATGACAAAAAGGAAATGATGAAAATTGGGATGCAAGAACAAGAGCTGAGTGACAAGTAGTACAGGAATGTGAGGGAAGGATGAGACACAGGATGGGATTAAAAGGAAATGGGGAAAAGGAGAAAATTGAGAAAAATATGAGATTCATATTGGCACACACAAAAAGCAGTGAGTGAAGCTCCTCAGCATATTCCAGTGGAAATAGGTTAGTGAAAAGCCTTCAACAATAACTATATGGGTGGGATGAGTTTTGAAGCTGGAATAAACATCTGAACATCAATCACTTTCAACATGAAATGACAATAAGACATAAACTGCACTTAAGAGTAAAAACATGCAGCAATTTCATAAAAAGTAACAAAATTTACTTTATTTAAAAGTGCATATAAAGCAAAATGACAAATACTCACACAAACATGCAAGAGAAATCCCTAAATAGTAGATGTAAGTCAGTAAGTGATAGTCTGCATAAAATTATCATGTAAATACTAGTACTCTACTCTCTGTCTTGAACAAATATTTTGTAGTGTAAGACAAAGCCTGTGTTGTACATTACGAAAATTAATTATTTATCATCGCGTGATGTATTTTGATTAATTTCAATAAAAATCTCCAATTGGATCTTTTCTTCTGCCTTTCATTATTCCAATACTTTTGAATCAACCTTATAGGAATCTAAATTTGCTAAAACCAGCCTTATATCTCTTTCATTTATCTTCCATTTATCTACCCTCAAACCTTGCTCACTATATCTTTGAAACCTATTCCTTTACCCCTTCTTCCCTCACTGCCTCCTTTTTTATCAGGTATGTCAACCACCTTAATGTTTTAAATATAGGACAATTTAAACATCATGTACCATCCATTATTCACCAAGCTTAAAGGAAATTCAATCTCCACTGCTTTAAGTATACTAAAAACTTAAAAACATTTAACACATCTAACTAATTCCATGATTAAGTGAACCTCCTAGCAATTTTTTTTGGGGACCACTGACTTATGTGAGCATCTCTAAATTTTAGGAAATACAATGACTCTTAGGATAACTGGAAGAGTATGCTTTATAAACATTTGAACACAGCAAAAGTCAATTTCATATTTCAATTGTTAATAACAATTAGCAAAATACTTATTACTTATTCTTGTACAGTACAGGACTGTACTAAGTATAACTGACTGAAGCAACATTCTTAAAACAAACTTTATTAACATTGTAGTTTTATTTTACTTGGACATTTTTAAAACCATAGTAAACAGGCAAATCGTGTAAGTTTGCATTAATTCTGGGTGAAGGTGAAATTTTAAATGTTAACTTTCTACACTGACTCAGGGGTCAAACTGAACAGTTACTTCTTGCCTCAAATGCTGGGTAGATATACTCACCTACAAGTATTCACTGCAAAAACTGCAGCAACAAATGTTATACATTGTCCTTCTACTGCTTTCATAACCATGAACAGTACTGTACATGTATTTTCTATAAATTAATGAGTATCATTATAATTGCTGTATTATTATCTCAAGATGAAAGTATTTTCTTTTTGGGGATTTTCTTTCTTTTTGGGTCACCCTGCCTCGGTGGGAGACGGCCGACTTGTTAAAAAAAAAAAAAAAATTCAGAAAAAATGACAAAATATCTAACTATTCCGAATGATAAAGCTTGCAAAGCATACCACCAGATTTAATCCATCTGCTACATGTTCAACTATTTATGTCCACTAAGAAGCAAAACCAAGGAGAAAAGGTGAAGCATGCATAACCCAACAAATGCACACTCATGGAAACAAAGCAGTAGGCACCAAACTTCTAATATAATCATGTCAATCTAGTTAAGCAAATGAATAGCTGAAAATATAAAATGTATACAATGTGCATATAGATGTGGGCTATAAGACTAGGCTCTAGAGAAATATTCTCCTTGTCTGTTCTATTGTCATGGGTCACTAAGAGGCTGCAGGTTAGGCAGGGCCACATCTAAAATAAAGTATTTAAGAATATGTACATCTCAGCTCTGTATAAAACTGAGACTTTAACACCTTAATATGAGTCTGTGTCCTTATGGGAGAGGAAATACTGTAATACAGTATTAAACATTATTACATAAAAATTTTCTTGCATGCACTGATACACAACTGAAAAATACTGTATAAATACTGTACATTCTATCCATGAATTAAGGCAAAAGTAAGTAGAAATTACCTCACTGCTAAAATATTATATGCCAGAATTGAATGGAGCAAATTATTAAGCTTGTATCTGTAAGTTTTATCTAGTGTTACTTTGACACACGCTAACTTCCCACAGCAATGCTATGATTATACTCAAAGTCTGACTAAGCAGGTGAGGATACCAGTCAAGCAAAGGAATGAATTTCAAGGAAAAAGATAAGAAGAGAAGACTAGGTCCCCTTTTCCATTATGGTTTCCCAGAGTTCTTTCCAACTAATAAAGTATATTTTAGCTCTAATATCTTTCTAAGCTCTATGCTTATCTCTTACAAGATCAGGAAACACTCAACAAGAAAAAAAAACAGTTATACGGAATACTTTAAAAAGTAAAAATGAGGAAAAATAGCTTACACTGCCTTGGGAGTGAGTGAGATCGTACTACTCCCACCCCTAATTTTGGGCTGGTAAGGTGAGTCTTGGATGGAGGAGTGTGGTGCAACAAATCCAGAGAAGGAATGTTGGGTGGCAGGGTCTCAGATCTCTCCTTGACATGGCACTTCTCGCGAGAATTTTCAAGCATTTCTTCAAAATCCATTACTGCCTCTGGAATAGTGACAGTTTAAATACGAAAAGAAAACAAAACAAAATGTAGGTAATTTTAACCCTTTCAGGGTCCGTGCCGTAGATCTACGCTTTACGTTGAGGGTCCAAACTGTAGATCTACGCCATGAGCTCAGCTCACTCTGATAAGCTGTGAGCGGTAAATTTGGGCCTAGATATGAGAGAATACATCTATGTGGTATGTGTGCACCACATAAAACAAATCCTGCAGCACACAGTGCATAATGAGAGAAAAAACTGAGACCGTAATTTTCAATTAAAAGAGCAACTTTGCAGTGTTTTTTCGCATGTTTTTTATAGTTGTATTTGCAATTTCTTGGTCTCATTCGATAGAATGGAAGGTATATTACAGACACAGAGATGATTTTGATTGCTTTTAGTATTGGAAATGGCTTGAAACTGAGCTCAAAGTAGCGGAAATGTTAAATTTTTGCCAATGTTCAAGAGTAAACAAATGACCTCACATGTCTAATACACGCCAGCTGGTGGGTCTAATATATGTTCACAAATGTGGTGATATTATTTATACAATTATTACAATACTGCATGACAGTAAATCTTCTGTTTTTTTTGGTTTGAATAAAAATTCATTATGTGAATTAAAAATCAAAATAGAATTCCTTTGTAAAACCTGAAAACGTAACTAATGAACAGAGGAAATGTTAGTTTAGTGCCAGGAATGAATGCATTGTTTATTCTGGACCTTATTTTGAAATTGAAATACTTTGAACTTTGCACTAAATTGGCTGAATTACCAATTTCCAATCACTTTATTTTGTAGTTGAAACAGTTGAGTTGGCGATTTCTTGTGCTCAATCAATAGAATAGAAGGAATACTTTTCAAATTCAAATTCAAATTCAAAGTTTATTCTCTATAAAGATTACAATGTTGAATTTCAAAGTTTATTCTCTATAAAGATTACAATGTTGAATTTACAGAATTTGGTTGTTGTGTGGTTTACATGTAGTTAAATAATGATTACAGAGTGTACCACTAGAACGCCAAGCATGGCTAGGCATTTCGGGCAGACTTAGTTTAATTCTTTATTTTAAAATATTACAAATTATGAGGTAAGTTGGTATTATGGCTAAGTGACTAAATACTACTTTGTGAGTTTAGCAATGTGAATGCTTTTGTTTTGGCACAGTACATAGTTTCAGTATTGGAGTATCATAGGATTCATTATTTAAGATTGAGATTAATATTTCTGTTTATGGTCAAATGGGTGAGTGAGTGTAAGTGTGAACCACCAGGTGGTATTCGTGTAGTTAGTTGATGGGGTTTATCAGGGAGATAAGATGTTTTCTAATGGTAGTTTTGAAGGTGATGAATGTGTCTGCGGTTCTAGAGTTCTCAGGTAGGGTGTTCCAGATTTTAGGGCCTTTGACATACATTGAATTTTGTAAAGGTTTAGTCGGACATGGGGAATGTCGTAGAGATGTTTTGTGTCTGGTGTTATGCCTGTGGGTTCTGTCACAACTATCAAGAAAGCGTTTTAGGTCAAGGTTGATATTGGAGTTTAAGGTCCTGTAGATGTAGATTGCACAGTAGTAAGTGTGGATGTACTGAACAGGGAGTAAGTTTAGATCTATGAAGAGTGGGGGGGGTGTGTTGCCAGGGATGGATTAGTGATTATTCTTACTGCAGCTTTTTGTTGGGTTATTATTGGCTTTAGGTGTGTTGCTGCAGTTGATCCCCAAGCACAAATAGCATAGGTGAGGTATGGATAAATAAGTGAGTGGTATAGTGTGAGAAGGGCATTTTGCGGCACGTAGTATCGTATCTTGGAGAGGATCCCAACTGTTTTGGATACTTTTTTGTTATGTGTTGGATATGGGTGCTGAAAATTCAGGTTGTTGTCAAGGTATAGGCCTAGGAATTTGCCCTCATTATGTCTGGTAATTAGAGTGTTGTCGATCTTAATGTTAATTTGTGCATCTCCTGCTCTGCTACGAACATAATATAGTAGGTTTTGTCAGTGTTAAGCGTAAGTTTATTGGCTGTCATCCAAGTCGATATTTTGATCAGCTCCTCGTTAACAATGGTGTTGAGGGTGGCAAGATTAGGGTGAGAGATGACATAAGTCGTGTCGTCAGCAAAGAGAATGGATTTCAGGTGTTGGGATACGTTTGGAAGATCATTGATGTATATGAGGAAGAGCAGGGGACCAAGGACACTTCCCTGCGGAACTCCAGTATCAAGTGGCCGTGTTGTTGATGCTGTGTCTTTAATGGTAACATACTGATACCTATTAGTAAGGTAAGATTTGAAATAAGCAAGCGCATGGCCTCTTATACCGTAATGGTCAAGTTTGTGGAGTAGGATGTCATGGTCTACTCTGTCAAAAGCTTTTCTTAGGTCAATAAAAATTCCTAGTGGATATTCCTTATTTTCCAATGCTGTTTAAAGCAGATCTAGCATTTTTATGATTGCATCATTAGTGCTTTTATTTTTCCTAAATCCAAATTGGCAGGGGTTGAGTATGTTTTGTGCTGTTATAAATGAATATAGTCTCCTGTGCACGAGTTTCTCAAAGATTTTGGATAGCAATGGTAAGTTTGATATTGGCCTATAGTTGTTTAAGTCTGTAGGGTCACCACCTTTATGTATTGATGTAACCCTTGCCATCTTGAGTAGTTTCGGGAACGTGCTAGTTTCTAGTGACTTGTTAAAAAGTAATGAAATAGCATGCGAAAGGATATGGGCTGCTCGCTTGTACAGTAATGGTGGGACATTAGACAGATTCCCTGAGTTGTTTTTAAGTGACTTTATAATCTCGGTGACTTCCGAGGGCTCAGTTGGGGCAAGATAGAAGGAATTTGGGAAATTCCCATCTAGGTAGTCCCCGGCATGGGCATTAATATGTGGGATTTTATTGGCGAGATTAGATCCTATGGTTGAGAAGAAGTCGTTTATCTTGTTAGCTGTGTCAGTGGGATGTAGTGGTGTTTCATTAGGTTTAGTTGGGACAATATTCTTGTTTTTTTTCAGTTTGTGGGTCCCTAGAATTTGAGAGTGTTTTCCAGGTCTTTTTTATATCTCCTCTAGTGTCTGTGAATCTACTGGAGTAGTATAGTTGTTTGGCCTTCTTTATTACTTTGGTGAGAACTGATGAATAGTGTTTAAGAATATCTTTGTGTATTAAGCCCTGTCTATATTGCTTTTCATATTGGTGTTTCTTGTCAATGGATTTCAGAATGGTGCTGGTTAGCCATGGGCAACCAAGCCGTTTGTTTGTGATCTGTTTCGTTTTTATAGGACAATGTTTGTTGTATAGTCTAAGTAATTTGTTAAGAAAAATGTCTGTCCAGTCATCAATACCATTGGCCTTGGAGAATTCTGTAGGCCAGTCAACAATCTCTAGGTCAGTTGTGAACTTCCTTATTGAGGCCTCGTCATGGAGTCTAAATGAGACTTTGTTGTATTCAAGTGGTGGTTTATTAATGTTTGTCAGGAGGAAGGTAGGGTAGTGGTCTGTAGTGCTATCTGTGATTATCCCTGATTTAAGGGGGGCTAGTATATTGGTCCATATGTGGTCTATTATGGTTGCACTTGTCTCAGTGAGCCTGGTTGGTTTAGTTATTGTTGGTATGAGAAGTGTGTTGTTCATATTGTTGATGAAATCAGTTACAGGCTGATCATCTAGTAAGCCAAGGTTGATGTTGAAGTCTCCAGCTAAGAGAAGGTGGTGCTTATTCATTTGTCTGTTTGCTATTAGTGACTTTAATTTCTCACTGAAATTTGGGATGAAATAGCTAGTGAAAATAGCTAGTGAAATAGCTAAGAATTTGATTGACTGGAATAAAGTAATTGGCCTAAAATGGGAGTCAAAGTCAGCAAAATCGCCAATGCATAGATATCGCTGACACATCGAAATTCGTGAGAGCATAATTTCATAAATTTTCCATCAAATTTCATACTTTTTGTTTTATTACCTTCACAAAAAGATTCTCTACCATTTCAGAAGAAAAAATAACAAAATTATTTTTTGAAAATTCTTGGACACTGGTGCGCACTTTGAAATTTGGCCTCTGGACCCTGAAAGGGTTAACTTAGAATTCTGAAAGAATGCTGTAGTTTATTCTAGCCCCAAGTTTAGCAAATAATTTCTTCTAAGGCAGGGTGACCCAAAAAAAAGAAAGAAAATCCCCAAAAAGAAAATACTTTCGTCATCATTCAACACTTTCACCACACTCGCACATTATCACTGTTTTTGCAGAGGTGCTCAGAATACAACAGTTTAGAAGCATACACATATAAAGATACACAACATATCCCTCCAAACTGCCAATATCCCAAACCCCTCCTTTAAAGTGCAGGCATTGTACTTCCCATTTCCAGGACTCAAGTCCGACTATATGAAAATAACCGGTTTCCCTGAATCCCTTCACTAAATATTACCCTGCTCACACTCCAACAGATCGTCAGGTCCCAAGTACCATTCGTCTCCATTCACTCCTATCTAACACGCTCACGCACGCTTGCTGGAAGTCCAAGCCCCTTGCCCAAAAAACCTCCTTTACCCCCTCTCTCCAACCCTTTCGAGGATGACCCCTACCCCGCCTTCCTTCCCCTATAGATTTATATGCTTTCCATGTCATTCTACTTTGATCTATTCTCTCTAAATGACCAAACCACCTCAACAACCCCTCTTCTGCCCTCTGACTAATACTTTTATTAACTCCACACCTTTTCCTAATTTCCACACTCCGAATATTCTGCATAATATTTACATCACACATTGCCCTTAAACAGGACATCTCCACTGCCTCCAACTGTCTCCTTGCTGCTGCATTTACCACCCAAGCTTCACACCCATATAAGAGTGTTGGTACTACTATACTTTCATACATTCCCTTCTTTGCCTCCATAGATAACGTTTTTTGACTCCACATATACCTCAACGCACCACTCACCTTTTTTCCCTCATCAATTCTATGATTAACCTCATCCTTCATAAATCCATCAAAAATTTAACATCT